AAATAACAATAAATGGCGGGAAAAGGGATTCTATATAATGGTGCTGGGAAAATCTGGCTAGCCATGAGTAGAAATGGCCTGAAACCTGGATCCTTGTCGCTTACTCCTCTATGACGAAAAAGTAATTCAAGATGATCTAGAGAGCTTAAATGTTAGACCGTAATACATCAGTAAACCCGTATGGAAGAAAACCTAGGTAACGTACCATTCAGGGACGATAGGCATCATGGCAATGGACTTTCATTGTGCTAAAACACTAAAGCGCAACAGCAGACAAATACTCAAAATTGGATCAAGACCTGATGTAAATGACAAGTTGATAGGTGCTGACGAGTTGATGGGTGCAGCACACCAACATGGCACAAGTATACATATGTAACAAACCTGCACTTTATGCACATGTACTCTAGAACTTAAAGTATAATAATAATAATAATTAAAAAATACATTATAAATCTGTTTTCATTAAGTGCACATTCTTTAATAATGTCATTTTAGAGCTTCCTAGGCATTTTATTGTCTGGACATTAAATAATTTTTAACAATTAAAAAAAAAACAGATCATTTCCCTCAGCCCGCATGATTCCATCCCCAAACAGTCAGCAGTACCCATTTTTTAATCCTGTGCCCCTCAAACTATCCTTGAAAATCTCTAACCCCTGATCCACTAGGGAGGCTGATTTGAATAATAATAAACCTCTGTTCTCCTGTTTGGCAGACTTGGAGTCATTAAAATCTTTCTTTACTCCAAATCACCATCTGGATAAATTGGTTTTGTTTGTGCAGGAGGCCAGAAGAACTTGTCTGGGAAATACAAGAATGGATGGAGGAGTTGTCTATCCCTGTCCCACGGTCTTGTCCACAGAACAACCTCACAAGGGGACAGAGCCCTGGATGGGGATACAGTGGAAGCTCTTTCTCTTAATGACCTGGGGACATTGGCTCGAGATGAAGCGTGTCAGGAGTGGAAACTGCAGGTGATTTCTTGCCTTTCCTATTTCCTGGGAGGTGGGCAACGCCACAGTGTTAGCAGGAGGGGAACAGAACAGTCAGCGTAGTTAGAAGGAGTGTCTGGGGAAAGCCAAGGAGTGGAGGAAGAAGCTGTGCAGGACAGGGCTTGCCAGTTAGAATGAAGTGGGAGGAAAATGAGGGACACAGAGAAGCAGAGAGAGGCAGAGACAGCATGGCAGTGAACAGTGGGGCCTACAGTGACTTTGGAGACCCCAGGGACCAGGTGCCCCAGTTCAACAGTCCAGGATGAGGGAGCCCTGAAAACCCTCCAGTGGCCAAACAGCTTCAGAGTTATAGGAGGTGGGGTGGCATTAGGGGCAAGAAGTAGTGGGGGGATGAAACATGCTTGTCAGCATCTGAAGGACAAGGGACAGGTGTGACTAGAACCTCCTAGAATTCTGCATCCAAGATCCAGTCTCTAAAGAGGTTATGGATCATTCGTTTCTTCATTCAATTCCTTCATTTGTTATGTGAGAGCTCCTGAGTGTGTGTCTCTCACTGGGCCTGTGCTGGTGCGGGGTGTGAGTGGGGAAAGAAAACAAGGTCCTCTCTTTTATCCTGTTATGCCAGTGACATGTTCACTTTTGGAAATACAGGATTTCAGGTTCAGTGATAGGGGTTAAGATCTGAGGGGGAGGCCTGGACATATTTTGCACTGACTCTAACAGTTGAGGCAGGTGATTTAATTCTGGAGTACAGACTAATCAGCTGACCATTTGCTCTCACTCCTCTGAGGTTTGGATGCCTAAGAAGAGAGGATTTGAGCCAATAAATGACTATGGGGTCCTTGGATCCCAGTAATTCCTCACTTCTGGTGGAGGAGAGGATGGACCTGTAGCTGCAGACAGACCTCATGTGACCCTGATCTGCCTTTTGTGTTTGTGTGACTCTGGTTCAGTGACTGTGCCTTCCTGTGCCTCAGTTTTCTCTCAGTCAAATAAGCTAAATGGCAAATGGACTGTGGCTTTTCATGCTACCTGTGAATACATTGTAAATTCTTCACAGTCACCTGACCTAATGCTTGGCACAGTGGAGGTGTTCACACAAACAGCATTTATTACTATTCACTTCCATGAGAGAGCACCTTTAGGTCAGATCCCTGTGGACAAGCTGCTGCCAGGTACATTTTCTGTCTTCTGTTTCTACTTCTGGGGACATTAGAGATTACTATGGAGTGTCCTAAGCCTCACAAGACAGTTGGCTGATGGCCTACAAAGCTTGTCTTTCTGTCCTCTCCACTCTGAGTGTCAGGTGAAGAAAGCTCTGTCCTTGCCCAGATGAGGCTCTGAGGGCTGAGCCCTGGCTAGTGAGCAGCTCCAGGAGACACAGTCCTCAGACAGCTGGTAAATCCTTGGTCCCAGTAAGCCCTGCCACAACCCAGCCCTGGTGCAGGCTCCTCAGCTTTATCTGTAGTAAGGATTTAGGGACAGGGGTCTGGGGTTGAGTCCTCTAGGACTGAGCTTCTCTGAGAGTTTCTCAGGGGGCCTCTTAGGCAAAGCCCTACTCACTTCTCCAGGGTCTTTCTGAGGGTCAAGTTCATGAAGAGGGCATGAGGTGCTTGGCTGAGGCTGATCTCCTCCTGCTGAGCAACTCCCCCCCCAATCAGACTGTCCTTCCTGTGCAGCAAGTGTCTGCAGGGTCTGGAGGCAGGAAAGGAATTCTGATCTGTTGAAGTTTGTCTCCTCTGTGTGTGTCCTGCACTAAATGCCGAAACCCCAACATGGGACATAATGCAGAGAGGGACACAGGCACAGTCTAGGCCTGACAATCCTGTGTGTACAAAGTAGAAGTGACCCCCGCCCCCCAACACCCAGGGATCATGTGGAATCACTCACGGTATAAGGTGAAATGTCCAGTTACTCCTTTAGTGGTATCACCTCGCTGTATGATTTGTATGGTGTAGGATCCTGTGTCCTTCTGGGTGACATTCTGGATCAGCAGGGATGCATTGGAATATACTGTTTCTCGTCCACTGTATGCAGGCCCAAATACAATCATTTCAGTGTCTATTACATATGATGTAATGTAATGGTGGATGTCTGTTATTTGCCCTTTGTACCAGCTGTAGCCAGTAGGATTCTGGGGCAAATTGTGGACAAGTAGAAGAACATCCTTCCCCTCAGAAACCTCGGTTGGCTGAGCTTCAATCGTGACTTGACCCGTGGTAGGTGGGTTCCAGATGATTAAAAGTGATACTAGGAGGTGGAGAGAGTATCAGTCAATATTGAGACCTATGTATTGGGGTGAAAAATGGGGCCCTGGGACCTGAGAAGATCTCTTCAATCATCAGCCTTGAAAACACACCCACACACCCACACACACCCTTTTTCTGTGTGTGTGTGTTTGTGTGTGTGTCTCAAGCTGTCTTATTGTGTCAAGGTCAGCAGTATGACCCTCATTCCTTCAACACTTCCAACCTTGGCACTTTTCTGTTTGGAATCCTCTTCCCCAGGGGTCTGCACGGCTCCCTCCACACTGCCCTCAGGTCCTGCTCACATCAGGGCATCCTTAGACTTCTTTCCTAACACCTCCTTCAGAGACACTGGGTCTTCCCTTTCTGACCTTTTCCTGCTCTGCTCCCCCCGGAGCTCTGGTCAACATCTGACCTCACATTCTAGGTCTCTTTGCATGTCTGTCTATCTTGCTTCCCATGAGAGCATGTGTTCCCCGAGGACTGGGACTTTTGATCTTGGTTGCACCCCAGAGCCTCGGACAGGTGGCAGACTCCTGTACATGTGAGAGTTCCCAGGGCCCTCCATCCCCAGTGTGTCTTTCTTCTCTTTCCCCAATTGTTGAGGTTTTTGGCTGAGGACAGTGTTTCATGCCCTGCTTACATTTTCATTTGAAGTGCCATCTGATAATAGTTATTATTATCATTTTTCAAAAAGTGGTGGCCAGTGATAATTAACCAGGAAAATAGAACACTTGAGATTTTCCTACCTCTTACCAATTCCAGTTCAATGTGATTTTCCTGTTTTGACCCCTGTCCCTCTCGGGTATATGTTCCCCTATGCAGGTTCCAAGAGAACCTGCTTTCCTGTATTTTTTTTTCTTTTTTTTTTTGTGAGATGGAGTCTCATATGATCACCCAGGCTGGCACGCAGTGGTGCAATCTCTGCTCACTGCAACCTCTGTCTCCCGGGTTCATGCAAATCTCCTGCCTCAGCCTCCCAAGTAGCTAGGATTACAGGAGCACACCACCACACCTGGTTAATTTTTTGTATTTTTAGTAGAGATGGGGCTTCCCTGTGTTGAGCAGACTAGTCTTGAACTCCTGACCTCATGATCCACCCACCTCAGCCTCCCAAAGTGCTGACTCCTTTTACTTTTTAGAACCCCCCCCTCTCCAGGAGACCTCATCCAATAATTCTGCTTCCTCCTCCTGTCCTCTCCCAGGAAGTCCTCTCCTCACCTGTGAGTAGAAGCTCCTTCCAAGTGATGTGCAGTGTGTAGGGAGGGGATGAGAGGGGCCCCATGGCCTGTGCTGCCTGCGTGTTCTCCTGTGTGGAGATGAGCCTGGGATCCAGAAACTTTCTGGGCACGGCTGTCAGCTGTGCTGTCCTTCCTCCTTCTGTGCTGAGCCTCTTCCCGCGGCAGGAGCACTTCTCAGGCTCATGGGCGGGGTCTGTGCCCAGGACACCTCTCTGTCCCCGCCCCTCTCAGTCTTGCCTCCTTGTCCCTCCTTCTCTTTTACCTTTTGTCTGTGTGTCAGGTCCCTGGGAATTGTGGAGGCCTCTGCCTTTTTCAGCAGTGATTCCATCACCAAACCTCGGCAGACACTATGTGCAGAAACACAAACACACACACAAAAGAGACGCACATAGACACACACAGTCACACACATACCCTGTAGGTTGGGCAAGCACAGTTCTGGGCCTCAGCCTCTTGCTGTCCCCATGGCTCTGGGTCAGGGTGCACTTTCTCGACCTTTGTCCTCTTTCATCCCCATCTGGCTCTTCCCTTCAGTGCAGGAGGCTGGAGCTGCACCAGATCCCTGTCACAGGGACACCCCATTGTACTGTGGGTGAGCTGTGTGTTGCCTGGTGACAGGGATCCTTCCTTTCTCTATTGTTTCTAGCTTGGCCGCAGCTTCCAAAGATGGACATTCAGAACCTGGGTGTCTCAGAGGAAAGTGTCCTTCCTGGAGGTGTGCAGGGTGAATCTCTCATGCCTCTTGTGAGGAGAGGCCTGTGCTGGTTGCTCAGTGGGGGCTGTGAGTCCCATAGTCAAAGGAACAGTTCTCAGTCACTCTATTGCTCCCTGGGGACTGGTGGCGGAGCTGGGGCTCAGGGTTTCTCCTTTCTTCCTGACCATCTTTGGTGTCCTCTCTTCTCTGCCCATCTGATTGTCCTGTGGTCACCACACTACCACCGTGGTGGCGCAGGAGGAAGTGGGGAGTTGCGCAGGAACCCCATGGAACATGGCTCGTTGAGATGCAGGAAGGGGAGCCTGGGACAGAGCAGGGGTTCAGAGCTGGAGAGATTAATCCCGACTTACTCCGTGGTCGTGATGGGCTCAGCCCTCCATGTGCTGACATACCCAGGAGTCTGTCCTGAGGGTTTTGACCTGGCCGAGCTGCTTTCTGTAGAGGAGGAACAGGCAGTCACCAGAGAGCCTGTGTGGAGGGACGTTGTTCACACCTGAGAAGGCGGGTGGGGGTGAGTTGCGTTCTTGGATGGAAGAGCAATAATACCTCCTTCTCCCAGCAGGGACACAGGAGAGGTCTGGCTTCCCAAGGGACAGCCGGGGGTAGCTGACCACATCCTGGATGGTGCCTGTGTGTGACAATCCCACTCGCTCTGAGCCCCCCGAGGTGCTGCGGGCAGGCAGGCCACAGGGTGCCTGACTGATTCCCGGGGAGGCTGTGGGCCCTCAGGCAACCACTGTTCTGTGTCAGCGCTAGGCTTGCCCTGGGTTGCCCCAGAGAACAGGACAGATGGAGCAGAGGCGGACATTTAGGGAGCAGTGACAGAAAGAGTTGATGAGGATGGAGGGAGGTCACCAGGGGAAAGTGCGCAGTGTGGCTTCTTGTGCACCCTCGCTGCCCTGGGAGATGTATTTTTAGCTGAACCCGGGGAAGGAGCAGGTGTGTGGGGCAGAAGCTGCCTGCAGAGGGAGTGGTGTTAGGTTGGCGGCCGCCAGGTCAGGGAGGAGCTGACACAGTCCGTGTGGGAGCATGGAGGGTGCTGAGGACTTGGGCCGAGGTGACCCTGGTGAGAGTGGACCCTGCTTGGCTACAGGTTCTGCTGAGGGAGGTCGACATCCCCTGGGAAGGCTCCCGGCTGGAAGGACTCTGCCGCCCTCTGGTGGACTGGAAGGGAAGTGTGGGTGGCCACAGTCCCAGGCCAAGTTGCGTGTTTTATTCCAAAAGGATCTGCACATTTCACGGGAGGTAACACATGTTATATTACAGCTCCATCACCTTCCAGCCCCGTGAGTCCCACTCTCTGTGGCTCTACGTTCTCTGTTCTCCCTCTTTCACGAGCGGATGTCCCGAACGAGATTTTCGTCACCTTCTGTGAGTTTGTGTTTGTGTGCAGTAGGCGGCACTGTGTATACCCTGGGGGCAGTGATGTCTGGGGCTGAGCACTGCACATGGGCTTGGGAACAGAAGAGGGAGCAGCAGGGTGGGAGGATCAATGCCAGGGAGGCAGGGACAAGTCATTTTCATTTCCTCAGTCCCAGAGACCAGAACCCAGGATTCTGACTCCAGGGCACAGTACCACACCCTGCTGGTGTCCCTGGATGTCAGGAGTGTTCACAGTGTCATGCTGCCTTGGCATTCATTTTTTAAGGTGTAAATCTATTTGCCTCACATCAGAGGCAGGCCTTGCTCACCATGGCAGTTTTCAATACTGTATCTGGTTCAAGTTTCTCCAGTTGGTGGCCAGCGGTGAAATCTTAGAGGCATCTCTCCCGCTTGGTGTGCTGGGCTCCCTTCTCTCCATCTACTATCTTTAAACTGGTAATTCTGACATTTGCCCTTACATTTAAAGTGACCACTTCTCAGTCACAGCATGATCTCCTGGTCCCAGTGTTTGCTGCTTGCTTGAAACACATCCATCAAAGCTCCCTGCTGGAAACCTGTCAGGTAACACGTGTACTTAATAAAGCCATCGGCTTACCGGTCTCTTCTCTCCTCCCTGCCTGGCCTCGCTGACCTCTGTATCTGTGGTCTCCAGGTGTGCCAAGTGCTCCCCAGTGTCTGTAAGTAGTAAAAACACACTTTCACGTCGTGGTTTTATCATTATAGCCTCACATGCCATCCAGGGCCTGACATCGAGGCTGCCCTATGAGACCTGTGCTGGTTGAACCCCTGCTGGAGCTCTTGTTTTGGGACCTCTGGTTTTTCTGGGGACAGGAGTCTGCAGCTAACTTGATTGAAAAAGTGATATGTTTCATGGAAAACACTGGGTCAGATGATGTATTCATGTGCTTCAGCTGCCATAACAAACACCTTAACCTGGGTGAATTAAATAATAGAAATAGATTTTGCATAGTTCTGTGAATAATGTGCTATTTTAATCACTTTAAAATGTACAATCAGGTGGAATTAACCACATACACAGTGTTAAGTTCCCATCACCACTATTTTTCCTGGAAAACTTTAGTCATTTTAAACTGAAACTTTATATCTTTGAAACAATAATAACTCCCTGTTATTTTCCACCCTAGACCTTGATCATCTCTATCTCTATGAATTTGCCTATTCTTGATGTTTCATATAAATGGAATTATATATGTATATGTTATTAATTTCTGACATATTTCACTTAGCATAATGTTTCCAAAGTCCATGCATGTTGCAGTGGATGTCAGAGCTTCCTTCCTTTTTATGGCAGATTAACATTCTGTTGCATGTGTCACCACATTTGTTTTTTCATGAGTTGATGAACACTTGGATTGTTTTCATATTTTATCTTTTGTGAGTAATGCTGCAATCAACATTCCCATGCCAGTACCTATTTGAGTCCCTGGATTCAATTCTTTGGGTATATACCTAGGAATGGATGCTCTTTCATGTGAGAATTCTATGATTATCTTCTTGAGGAACAGCAGAACTGTTTCTGCTAGTGGCTGTACCTTTTTATAATCTCACCAGCGATGCTTTTCCCCCATCTTTGTGGTTTTATCTGCCTCTGGTCTTTGATGATGGTGACGTACTGATGGGGTTTTGGGGTGGGTGTCCTTCCTGT